CCTGGGACCACGACCCGAGCCGAAGGCAGACGCCCAACGACTGAGCCACCCAGGCGCCCCTGATATTTGCCTTTTCTTATTGGAAAGCATTAGTAGTTGTGCAGCTGTAGTTTAGGATTGCTAATCGCTAATTATGTGGGAAAAATGAGATTGAAGTTTTATTGGGGTTCCCTGCTAATTGGACTTATAAGTGGTTTTCTTTTCAGTATTTTGTTTGGTTCCTCTTGAAGACGTTTATATAATGGATAGAGTGCAGATTGAGATCTGTCGTTTCTTGTGGATCTTATGTGGGTTCTTTTCACAGAATAGTGTTTACTTTGTTCTTTTGGGAGGGAAACTGTTCCTCTGAAAAATATTCACATTTTTTCCTGTGGCTTCATTCAGTAGTGAAATGTAGTGATACATTTTGCTGTGAGTCAGTGGCACATCTGAGGGTAGAACCTTCTCTGGAAACTTCTCTGCTCGTTGTAAAGGATGGTTTAAAGGGTCACCTGAGGTACATGTGGAAATTAAAGGAATCCCTGGGTACTCAGAAGTGGAAGGAGCTGCTGGAGCTTATCTTTGTCCTTTGCTGTTTAATTATGTATCATGTAACAATGTTTCAAACTGCAATTGAAGTATAGGAAGTTCAGGGCATTTCTTTAAGGGAAGGGGTTTTGCAGATGGGAAGTTACTTGTGTAAGGAACTCTTGAACAGATAAACATTTTTTTTTTAAGATTTTATTTATTTATTTGACAGAGAGAGAGAGAGAGAACAGGAACACAACACAGCAGGGGGAGTGGGAGAGGGAGAGGCAGGCTTCTCTGCAAGCAGGGAGCCCGATTTGGGGCTCGAACCCAGGACCCTGGGATGGTGACCTGAGCCGAAGGCAGACGCTTCTGACTGAGCCACCCAGGCGCCCCAATGTTTGGTGTTTTTCACATATTACTGAAGATTGATCCAGAAAAACAGAGAGCAAGAAAGATGCCTGTTACTTTGCAATTATATTTATTATTGTTGTTGTTATTATTTTATTATTATTAAGTTTAGGGACTTTTTAGGTATGGGAAAGAGATAATAGAATAGGAAAATAAGTTTCAGTCTTTAATTTTCTATTTGGAAAATTTTGAGAATAGAAGATCTATGGGAAGAAAAGGGATGAAGTTTTTAGAAATGGAAATAAAAATAGTCCTGAGACTTAGCCCATGCTTTCTTTAATTCTGACTACTACCTGTGCGGGATTGCTTTCTTTTTCAAGGAAACTTGAACGTAACTTCAAAAGAAGATTTGATTCTTTATTTCTGGACTGCATATATATAACAAGATCATCAGAATGTCGGGAGCCTCAGTGAAGGTGGCTGTGCGGGTTCGGCCCTTCAATTCTCGAGAGACCAGCAAAGAGTCCAAATGCATCATTCAGATGCAAGGCAACTCGACCAGTGAGTTCATGTTATTTTCTATCAATTATATCTCATCTTCCTGTCCTTTTTCTTTTCCCTTACTGTGAACAGAATAAATGAACATTTGGATAGTAACACTTTGAACTTTGCTACTCTGAGTGATCCACTAAATGGTCCCTGTGATATGATCCCTGTGATATTTGCTGTAGCATATTTAAATATGGACTGTTTATTTTGTTCTTTACAATTGAGAAATCCCTGGAGAACTACACTAATTTAGCTAGAGTTCTTACATTGAAATCTTAATGATAATAAAGGTATAAGCAGTGATTTTTTACTTAATCATGATGTGAAATGTATCTATTGAGGCTCTAAGATTACTTTTCTTTCTTGATTTTAAATGGTACTTGAGCTTACCAAGATGGTCTTAACTTACTCTCCTTCCTTACAATGGTTCTTTGAGTTGAACAACCGATTTAGCTACACTCGATAATAAACTTGTAAATTTATTACTAAGATTATAAGTAATAATTTGCTTATAATTTGTTTTTTTACAAATAAGATGATTTATTATTGAAATTTAAGTCCTTGCTTTCTAGCTTCTTTCTTCATATATAATTGCTTAGGTGAAAAATGACTTAAGCTGGTTTATTTTGTACTTGCATTAATAATGCCTTGATATGGATCTGTAGGCAAATTATTAAAGTAGCGGTAGGTTCTACTATCTTGAAACCTACAACTTTGTGATAAAGCAGAATCGTTGCTCTCCCAGAAACAAGTTAATGCTGAGTTGTTGGGGAAACCATTCTGATTTCATCTATTTGTAGGCCATTTGCCAGTGTTCTCTGTAGAGGATTCTATCATTGGGAAATAAAATTGTATATATTTAAGGTATACAGTGTGATGTTCTGATATATGTATACATTGCAAAATGATTACCACAATCCACACTAATTAATGTATCCATCACCTCTCATAGTTACCCTTTTTTTGTGTGTGCTTGGTGAAAACACTGGAGATCTGGGATGCCTGGGTGGCTCAGTCAGTTGAGCGTCTGCCTTCAGCTCAGGTCATGATCCCAGGGTCCTGGGATTGAGTCCCGCATTGGGCTCCTTGCTCAGCGGGGAGCCTGCTTCTCCCTCTGCCTGCTACTCCCCCTGCTTGTGCTCTTTCCCTCTCTCTCTCTGATTGATAAACAACAAACAAACAAACACTGGAGATCTATTTCTCAGCAAATTTTAAATATACAATACTTTATTATTAACTGTAGTCACTATGCTGCACATTAGATCTCCAGAACTTATTCATCTCAGGACTAACAGTTTATATCCTTTGATCAATATCTCCCCTTTGCCCCCATCCCTACCCTCTGGTAACCGCCATTCTGTTCTCTGTTACTATGAGTTTGCCTCTTTATTAGATTTTTTTAAAGATATGAGTCCATGAATTATATCCTATGAGTAATTGTAAAAGAAAAAGATGCAAAATTTAGCATTAAATTATAAACTTTAAATGGGTGAAAGGTGAACTTTATAGGGTATGAAAATTTTAAGTTTTTTTTTTTTTTAAAGATTTTATTTATTTATTTTGACAGAGACACAGCGAGAGAGGGAACACAAGCAGGGGGCGTGGGAGAGGGAGACGCAGGCTTCCTGCTGAGCAGGGAGCCCGATGCGGGGCTCGATCCCAGGACCCTGGGATCATGACCTGAGCTGAAGGCAGATGCTTAACGACTGAGCCACCCTGGTGCCCCGAAAATTTTAAGTTTTCTAAGAAATGTCAGTATTGATCATTTGCTCCTTAAAGTTTGAGCTAGATTTGTAATTGAAGTAGAGAACAAATGTTTGTTTGTTTATAAACAATTTATTTATTTGAGAGAGAGCACAAGCTGGGGGGGTGGGGATGGGAAGGGGCAGAGGGATAAGCAGACTCCCTGCTGGAGTCCCTGAGATCATGACCTGAGCTAAAGTTAGACGCTTAACCGACTGAGCCACCCAGGTGCCCTGAGAACCAATGTTTATGCTCTTAAATGTCACTCATTTAAGCTATGTTGTTATTTGTGCTTCATTTTAAGAGTTACATTTCACGTAGTATATAAGTAAATCTTTGCACAGGGGCCATGCTAATTTGTAGCAGTCCAGTTTTTGTATATGTGCTGCTTAAGTGAACCCACTAAATCCTGATTATTGAGCTCTTGTTTCTCTCTGCAAAAAGTATTTAATTATAACTTAGTTTGGAGGCATTTTTGGCTGTTGGCATTGCCTCTAAAAATGCTGGTATATATCACAAGTTCTTTTAAAAGGTAGACTTTAGGAAATCCTCGATCAGGAGCCAGAATTAATCCTAAAAAGAACTACTTTTCTCTGTGATACGTTTTGCATACTGAACTATCCAGGAGAAATCCCCAGTGTCACGGGTATCTGTTGCTATTTTACTTATAGGGTTGCAAATCTTACTAAAAACTTGTAAGTAGAGAATGAGTATTAAAAGGCCATATTTATGAAATGCGAAAATCAATTTATTATATAACAAAAACAAATGGAAAGTTTTATTAATATAAATCATGATACTAGTGTTTTTTTTCCTTGATGACAAATCGTTTTAGAATGCCCACATCTTAAATTGGCTGTAAGTTTATATTCATTGTCAAAGTCAAATAGCATTGTGTTCATTTCCCCACAGTTTTTATTTCTGTGATTAGGTGAAACCTTCATTCACATGGTATAAAACTCAAAAGGTACAAAGAATATACAGTTAAAACACTCCCTCTCCTCTATCATGTAGCCAACCTGTTCCTCTCCCCAGAAGCAACTTTTGTTTCATTTCCCTTCAGAGATAGTGTAAGCAGTAACATCTTTTTTTTTTTTTTTAAAGATTTTTTATTTATTTATCCGACAGAGAGAGATAGAGCAGGAACACAAGCAGGGGGAGTGGGAGAGGGAGAAGCAGGCTCTCCGCGGAGCGGGGAACCCGATGCGGGACTCGATCCGAGGACCCCGGGATCATGACCTGAGCCGAAGGCAGACGCCCAACGACTGAGCCACCCAGAGCCCCAACATCTTTTTTTAAGATAGTTTTTTTACCATTTTAATTAGTGATAAGTTATAATATTAGCTTATTTTTCAGTCTTGACTGATTTGTATGTTTTGTTTATTTATTTCTTACCCCTTCCCACAGCAGCGTATGTTTTAAATACCTGAATAATGCAGTTCATGTTTATAATTTGTAATAGTTGTTTCCTTTGAGATTTTAGCATGAAAGAATATCCGTGTAAATTAATAGGATTTTGTGTCTACTATATATATAATGGTATGCTGAGTACTAAATAGAATATCAAAAAAAATAATCAACTGACCATCTAGGAGAAGAACACTATTATAGTATGTAGTAAAGTTGAAGGTTTTTTGTAGTTCTGGATAGTTTGAGAAATGGATCTGGGTCTGCTAGATTTTCTGACTTTGCTATTTTTTTTTATCATACAGATTAAAAGCTCATAAGAAATTATTAATGGACTACAAGAAAGGTGTTAGAGCTCATTGTTTCTAAGATCTATAGATTTCTTTTTGACCTTGTTGTTTTGTTGTATAGAAAATACTGTCAATTTAGGGGAAAAAAAGTAAAATTATCCAAATATGATATTAACTTTGGATGAAGAATGTCAGTGTTTTCACTTGTAGTAGGTAGCAAACTGAAGGAGAAAATAAGATCCCTAGTTGTACGCCTTTTGAGGTTAGGGCCGTAATTTTATAGTTTTTGGGGATATAAGTTCTTTTTTTTAAATTTTTTTAATGTTTTTATTTATTTATTCATGAGCGTCAGAGAGAGAGGCAGAGGCTGAGGGAGAAGCAGGCTCCCCGCCTATCAGGGAGCCCGATACGGGGCTCGATCCCAGGACCCTGGGATCATGACCTGCGCCGAAGGCAGACGCTTAACCATCTGAGCTACCCAGGCGCCCCAAGGATGTAAGTCCTATTCACCAATCTTGCTTATCTCCCACAAAAATCTCTCCAGAATTATTGAATATATTGATTTATATTTTTATGAAATATTAATGAAGAAATGACTAGTTTTTATTCAAAGTAATAATTTGATTACAGTAGGCCTGGGCATATTGTACTAGTCATATGAGAACCAATCTTTGGACCATGTTAAGCACAGTGCTGAACTCCCAAATGGTTTTTCATCATATTTTGTTCAAAACTGTTGTAGACAACAGGCTGGGTGGCTCTGCTCTGTCTTACCCTTTCTTTTCCTTTCTCTTTTGAGAGTTTGCTCTAATGTGAGTCTATAGGAATCACAGAGTTGTATGTACTATAGGACCCTGCCTTTAAGAGGTTTAAAAGTGTGTGGTAGAAGACACAAGACATACTGAAATAAACTCAATACAAAGTAAAAGTGATCAAAGTGATAATTGCCATAAACAAGGGTTTTTAAAAAGTGCAGAAGTGAGTTTGGCAAAGGACACATGTAAGATTTGTAGATGATAGGGCATTTCAGCTGGACCTTGTGGAGTAAGGAGGATTTAAACTAAACATCCAGTATGTTTGGGGAAAATTTCAGAATTGCAGCTTTTTAGAACTTATTAGTGTTAGGACTAGGCATGGTATTCCTGACCTTCATCTGGCTATACCACATTGCCTCTCTGTACATAAACATTTAGCAGGAGAAATTTGTGACACACATACATACATTTATTTAATTCATTTATTGACATTTTTTGAAAGTAGGCTCCATCCCCAGCGTCGGGCTTGAACTTACAACCCCAAGACCAAGAGTCGTGAGCTCTACCAACTGAGCCAGCCAGGCACCCCCAGAAATTTGTGACTCTTAACATTAGTCTACTGAAACAAAAATCCTCATTTGGTGAACTAGCTTTGGGAAAAGTAGGGTTGGTTTTCTAACTATTTAGTTTGTTATGGCTCAGAAGGTTTGGGGTAATTTTGGTTCCTTTGAAAGGTATTTGTTCTTGGAAAACTAATTAATTGTATGAGAGACTTTTTCCTCTAGAATTTTTGGCAGTTTCAGTTTTCTACTAATGT